TCCTAATTATATTTTAGATTTTTTATATTTAAAATGAGATGTTTATCCTGTATTTGATTGTGTTTATCTGCAGTTAGTTACACGAATTCAGATATGGGAAGGGTTTAAGAGTTTTTAAGAGTTTTAAGAGTTTTTAAGAGTTTTAGTCAAATGCTTTATAAGATAGTATAGATAAATTAAATTATGATAAAATTTTGAATAAAAAAATGATACTAAAACAAGAATTTTTAAATAGTTAATTTGATATAACTATCGATATATATTTTTCAAAATTTTATGATATCTTCAAATTTAAATTTTATTCAAAAATAAAAACATTATTGTTTTATCAAAACCATGTAAAACCGTAAATAATGAACAAAGAATAAAACAAAATATTAAAATCCAAATGTATCTCGCTGCAGTGCGAATATCCTTCTAGTAGTAATATAATAAGAATAATAATACATAATATTAAGAGAGATTATTATGCTTAAACAATTTTACTTTATTTCATGAAAGGATTCATATGTCACCTTATCCACACACAAAAAATATTCATATACCTACATAATTTCAACTATAGTATGAATGTCTCTAACAAAAATGCAAATCGTCTCCACAAAATTATAACTGAATAGAGATGAAGAATTGAGAGATAAATAGAGAGATTATCATATAAGTGTACCATGAAGAAAAGATGAAAATTTATTATCGAATAGGGAGAAATAATGAGTTAAAAGAGCAATTATTAGAGAGAACATGAGTAGGTTGAAGTAACATAATTAAAAAACCTTAAATGTGAATATCAAAAATCAAAAATAAATATTGAAGTGAGAGAAGCTTGGGAAAAGGTGAAAATGAATAAAACACTTTCTATCTCTGAGAAAAGGTCATGTCACTGCACATGGTTTCTTCTTTAATATATATCTATCGAGATTTTCTTTAGATATCAGTTTTAAACCTAAAAAATGACAGAAAGTTGAATTAATCTCTCTAGTATAAAAAGCAATATGGTAGAATTTTACTCAAACCTCGAAAACCATCTTTATATTTATATGTACAATGACAATTTATGCTATTAAACTCAACTAAAAACATAAAATCAAAATCAATTGATCGCTTTTTGTTTGTTATATGTAATATTTGAGTGTATTTCGTGTTAGTGTGCTAACAAACATTATGTGCCAAAAACCCACTTGATATTTGCTTATATTATTAAACCCAACTAAAACACAAAATCATAATCACCGCAACCTATCTTGATTTATCTTTTTGTTTGTTATATATAATATTTTTTAGCCCAAATAAAACTCGAGTTCATTTTTGTCCTGGTGTACTAAAAACTCTTCCCTTCTATGGACAAAAATATAGAGGTAAAGAAAGAGAGGAGAAAAAAAATGAAGAAATCAATTCAAGATAAAAAGTTAAGTTGACTAATCAATGACAAGACATTAGCATATACGTCTTCTGGACAACTCCATCACAATCGTCACATATTTTATAAACCGAGATGACAAAAACAGACAAAAATCCCTAACATATATTTTCACAACAAATGACGACCTAAATTAGTAATCACATTCATAGATTTTGATTCATATGTTTTTGAGTGTAGGTTTGGTGTGCGAAGAGAAATGAGAAACACATTTGCTTAAAAAAGTGTGGAAAGAAACCCTTACATGATTCTTTTATATATGATTTCTCACATGGATCTTGAAAGGGAATCAAGTTACAGACGGGGCTAAATCATGTGTTCAAGAAGAAAAGATGGAGGTAAGGAAGATAGTTGTATTAGGTTAATAATAAAGTCAAGACATTTAGGTGACGTTTGTTTTTTAAGAGGTGCTGAAGTCTGAAGTCTGAATTCACTTCTGATTTTTAGGAGGTTGTGCTGAAGTCTGAAATCAGAATCAGTCAGACTGTTTGTTTTTTGCGTCTGAAATCTGAAATCTGAAGTTTGAAGACGAGAGATCGAGAGTTGATATGGATCGACAGTTGACAAAGTTGAGAGATGAAAGATCGAGACAGAAGAGTTGATCTAGAGAAATCGAGCGCAAAGAGATCAGAGTAGGTACGCGACGATTTGAAATAAGAGGTTTCGCAACTACTTAAATTTTCGGACCTAATAAGAGCTTTTAAGCTCTTAATTGAAAAAAAAAAAAACACACTGAATCCTCTTATGTCTAATCGATTCAGACTTAAGAGGACATTAAGAGCTTTTTTATTTAAAACAAACAGCCCATTAATGTCTTGTCTTAATTAATAAATTAATAACTAATGGGTGATGAATAAAGTAAGACAATTGGTTTATGAAGAAAAAAAATAGAACCGACATATATGGTACTAATAAGTCAAGAAAATTAGTGTTAATTAATAAATTAAGACAATTAATGGGTAATTAATATATTAAGACGTAATAAATAAATTAAGAAAATGGTCCCGACGAAATATTTAAATTAGCACGCCAATAATTAGCTTAATTATTTGAAAACTTTAAAATTTATGAGATCAGTAAAGTAAGGTCCATTTTAGACCATCAATGTAAATAAATATCTATACTATCTTATAAAGCATTTGGCTAAAACTCTTAAAACTCTTAAAAACGTTCATCCCTATCCGATTTCATCTCATATTTGAATTCGTGTAACTAACTGCAGATAAACACAATCAAATACAGGATAAACATCTTATTTGAAATATAAAAAATCTAAAATATAATGAGGATAATCATTGAGTTCTAACAGTATACTTAATTATTATCTTTATAAAATGTTATATTATTAAACCAAAAATAAATTATTTCATTATTAAATTTAAATTAAATTATAATAAAAAAATAATCTATATACTATATTATAAAGCATTTGACAAAAACTCTTAAAAACTAATTTTTATGCGTAAAATACTGTTTATTAATGCATATTACTTAAAACTCAAGATTACAAGTAGATTGTGCGTAAGTACAACTTATTAAAGCTCCATATCTAAACTCTATTTTTTTTGGTTGATTTCACAACTTTTTTTTTTGTTGATTTCGAGATAGTTTTTTTGGTTGGTAAGAACATAAACAGAAAATAACTGAAAGGAACTATGTTAGAAAGTTAAAAAATATATTTTTAACCTAGGTAAAGAAATAGAGGCTCATCTAGGAATGTCAACGGGCCGGGTTTGGGTCGGTTATTGGTATCCTCATCCCCAAAACTAATAACTAAAACCGTCTCCCTAACCACCCCGATCCCTGTCGGGTCCCCACTTTTTCTCTGATCCTCGTTGGGGAACCCGTTAAAGGTAAAAATCCCACTTTTCCCGTTGGTTATACCCGAACCGATTTGAAATAAATTACAATATATTAATTTTCATAACTAAAAATAAATTACAATTTTTTAAAATATGTAAGTCTAAATGTCTCAAACATAATCAAATCAATTACAAACAACATATTAGATTACAGTGTAAAAATAAAAACAGAAATTCAAACACCATCCAACTAACATCACGATTAGACAAATAAACTTGATTTTTCGTGAGCCTTATTTGGGTATTGAGTTAAAATGAATAAAAGTCTTTTAAATTTTAATGTTAGTATTTTTTTAATGATATATATATATATGTGTGTGTGTGTGTATATATATATATAAATTAAAATTAATATATACACACATACCGGCAGGGCTGGTGATCACCGTCCCCAACCCCGTCCCTATTAAAATCCCCGAATATATCCCCAATCCCCAAAAAAATGTTTCCGAACCCGACCCAAAAGTTTTGATTTTCGATTTTCACTATTGATTTCAGGTTTTTTTTTTCCCAATCTCTAGGGCCATCCCCATCTGTTACATATTAAATCCGCCCTTGTGCCAAATTATAATAGCCACATGTGAATATTAAAGTGAGAGAGTTGACCAGGGTGCTAATTAATGAATTATTAACTTAAGTTTTTATAAAGTTAAAAAAAATATATATTATTATCTGAAATTGATAAAGTTGCAAAAAATAATATATTATTTTCTACGAATAAAATGACTTTATTGTCTTGTTATTTTTTTAAACTTAGTTTATACTAATAATTATGATCATGAATTAAAATAAACAGAATGTGATGTAACCCCTCTATCTATCATTTCTTATGTTTTTTTCCTTATTAAATCTTTATAAATTTGTTGGTTAATTCTTTCTTTATATAAAAATAGACGATGTTTGAATCTTGTCTTTAAAATCTTATTAAAAGGAAAAATAATATACAAAACACCCCTAAATTTAAGCTGAATAATAAGTAATTTTGAGAAAAACGAGACTTGAACCTAATCCTTTTTTTACAAGGACGGTAACGTTAACCATCTCTGTGATTACAAACTTACGTCATTAGTTTAGTTTTAAAAAATATAATGACAGCCAACAAGAAGTACGGTGACAAGTGACAACCTCAAAAACGTATTCTTTTTTCCCTTTACGACCAAACCATAGAGTAGTGACCTAGCTATGCCATCATATTCTTCTATGGAGGTCCATCATTACCTCTTCTAGAAGTTGTGCAAAAAACGTGATATAAAAATACATTACAGACTTCTTCTGTTTTGTTATATGGAATTTATAGATTGGATTCTTCAAACAAAATCTAAGGAGGAATAAAAATCCCTTTGTGGCCACGGAGATTCAAATGCGATGACTCCGGGCTATCTGCAAAGCAGGTGGGCGTCCTGGAATTAGTCGGCTCGCATAGCGGATTGGATATCAAGGTTAATAAAAAAAAAGGTAATACCATGAAGTTGATGGGGTACTGGAGAAGATGACTTGGCAGTACATTTAGCCGGTAGGGAAAGCTTCTGTAAGGTTGGCCGGTAGGGGAAGAATCCGTGTGTGTATATATATAATTATATTACTAGTTGTGTACCCGTGCAATGCGACGAGAGCCATGAATTTTAATGATTATAAAGTTTCACTGGTTTTATTAGAAAAGATTTAACGATGATATAAGTTACACTTGGTCTTTATATATTAATACAATTTGAATAAATAAGAGTTATGGTTCCAATTACAGTCTATCGATGAAAAAAGTTATATGACAGTTTAAAATCCAATATATTTAAAATCAAACATATTTAAACGACTACACAAATGTGTTCGATTTATACCAAGAGCAAAGAATAAAGAGATCGAGAGCAAGACCGAGTTCTAGAGCAATTGAATGGAAGATGAATGATAAAACTTTTAATAACTCATGATGAATATTAGTTTGAATCTCACCTTGGGGGATGGAGAGAAAACATAGAGGTATGAGAGAGTGAAGTCATGAGTGAAAGATGTCAAAAGTATCTTGGAAACATGAAAAGAAAATATAATAATGTGTATTGGTAACTGTACTCTATGTTATTTTAATTGTAGATTAAAAAATTTTAAAACTAAATACATAAATTAGTAGTACTTGATGCATTATGAATTGTTTTTAAGACTTTGTGCATTAAAAATTGTTTTTAAGAATTTTTATAAATCTGTTTTATAAGGTAGTATAAATATAACATATTATTCATATTTTTAAAAGAAATTAAGAAAATTGAAATGACCAAAAGGCCCCTAACTAACTAACTAACGAAGTGAAGTTAATAACAGGGATCTAATTCGTAAAAAAATTAAAACAATAATGACCCGTAATTTTCATATAACACAAGGACTAAATTTGTAATTTACTTACGTACAAATAAGACTCCTATTTTGGAACATTAGGGCTGATACCTGTTGGGGTGTCCATTTAATTGTATACAAGGATATCACTTTCTAATGTATACTTGATCAACAAACAACCATCATGAAAAACCAAAACCATCCTCCTCCGTTTCACCGCCGGTTGGTCCTCCGCCGCCGGTGGTTCAACCGCATATTCGCCGTCATATACACATGCACCGTCTTCACCTTTCTACTCCATCAAACCACCCTCCTACTCTTCCACACCACCAACATCACAATCTCTTTAATCATGTTACTAGCTGACATCATCCTTGCTTTTATGTGGTTCACTCACCAAGGCTTCCGGATGAATCCGGTTCACCGGAAAACTTTCCCTGAAAATCTCCCCAAGGATGAGACCAAATATCCGGCCATGGATGTGTTCATATGCACAGCAGATCCAGATAAAGAACCACCAATGGTGGCTGTGAATACGGCTTTGTCAATCATGGGGTTTGATTACCCGACGGAAAAGTTGTCGGTTTATTTGTCGGACGACGGAGGATCACGGCTGACTCTTTTAGCTTTCATGGAAGCTGCTAAGTTTGCAAGACACTGGATACCATACTGCAAGGAGAATCAAATAATGGATAGGTCTCCAGAAGCTTATTTTACCTCAAACTACACTTGTTTCCCTCGCACCCATGAAATCAAAGTATTATTCCATTCCATTTTAACACCCCTCTCTCTCTCTCTCTCTCTCTCTATATATATATATATATATATATATATATATTCAGGTTCAAGTGAGAAAACTATCAAATTCCGAGAAGGCGGGTAGTTCCAAGATTATAGATAATTACATGTGATACGAACACGTAATCATACATGACTAAACACATACTTGTTGTGTTGACTGCAACTTCCTTGCAACCTTTGGTTGCATTCACCAAGTCCACTACGTCCTTTTTGGATGTTTTTAGTCATATATATTTTCGTCTTCATATCACATATGATCATTTATGATCTTGAAAATTCTCGACTTCTTATATGTTAATATTTTCTCACATGATCATCCCCACTCTCTCTATAGATTTGATCAGGTTCCAATTAGAACCACATTTCCATTATGAACCATTGAACCAATGAGAAAACGCCACATGTCTATATACATGATAAACATTGATTGGGTCAAAATATAGTATGATATTATAAATGTCGTAAAAAATCCATATTCATTGTTAACGTTGAATCATGGAACTATAATAAAACATGAGTTTTTGTATATAAATTGCATTAAATGTTATTTTTATATATAGTTTTGTAATTGCAGGTGATGTACGACAGCATGAAGGATAAAGTGGAGAAAGGTGTGGCCACCGGCAGTGATGATGTTTATCAGCCGACCCACATATTCAACCAATGGGATGCCAACTTCACACGCCAACACCATCCCACAGTCATCCAGGTTTCTCTGTATTCTTAACGTTTGACACATTCGCTTGATCGGGTTGAAGACATTTAAATAACCCAATCTAATGCTTGCGTTTTGGAAAAATCTTAACCCAACTCAATCCAAACCAAAGTGCAACCCACCCCATACGGGTTGGTCGGGTTGATACTTTGATATATTAAAATATTATTCTAATCTTGAATATGTTATTTTTCTACTCATAATTTTTTTTTCATCATCAACCATTTGATACAACTTATCCATATTTCTTACGTATATCACATTCAGTTAATTTTCTCAATTTACATATATATGTTCACAGTTACTGAACATATATATGAATGAGTTATATAGAGACATGTATAGATTGAAAATATGTGAATATGAAAAGCATACATGATAGTGTAATTGTCTAATGTATATATTAGTAAAAATTCAACAATAATATTAAATCCAAGAAATAAAAGGATATCGGGTTCATCGGGTTGGGTTGAGTTCAAATAATAGTAACCCAATATATACGGTTTGACAATTTTACAACTCGATTAGACATCGGGTTGCTTCCGGTTAGATTATTTCATGTTGGGTTGATCGGGTTGCTTCAGGTTAGGTTATTTCGCGTTGGGTTGATTGGGTTTTTGAGCACCCTACCTTCACATATATAAATCGTTTTCTTATCCTAGGGACTAAGATTAAAATTTGTGATTTATATTTTTTTAATTTTTTATTAAAAATATTTTTTTTATCATGTAATAGTTTATTTAAAAACTGATTTGTCATTTATAACGGTTGCTAACTGACAGCGTTAATTATATGGATCTTGAGTGTTATGAAATTGAAAAGTTAAGGATCTTCGATATAGATAATTCATTCTAACGGATAAATCCAAAATCTAAGCGTACCACATGGACCACCAGTATAATTCACTCTTTTTTCAAAGTCATAATTATGATAAAACATTAAGAGAAGATGTCATATCTATCTCTTCTATTCAGTAGAGATAAAGTGTGATATATGTTCTGCAGACCATAACTATGAATAAAATTTAGTGATTTACTGAGTCTGTTTGATTCGGTTTTATTATCAGGTGTTGTTAGACGGTACCAAAGAAACTGACGTTCTCGGTCATGCAATGCCAAACCTTATTTATGTCTCCCGAGAGAAGCGTAAGGCAACACCTCACCATTTCAAGGCCGGTGCTCTTAATGTTTTGGTAAAAGACTTGATGGATGGATCCTGTTTTCATCGTTTAAAATTCGATTTTCATTAATTGATTAGTATCAAAATGTTTGAATCGTTTTTTTCCAGCTCCGTGTGTCGGAGACCATAACAAACGCACCGATTGTCCTTACCGTTGATTGTGATATGTACTCGAACGATCCAAAAACGCCACTAAAAGCGTTGTGTTACTTCTTGAACCCTTCGATAGATTCCGACAATATAGCTTTCCTTCAATTTCCTCAAATATTTCAAGGGATTAACCAAGATGATATATATGGTGCCGAGTTCAAGTTCATATTTCAAATCAACATGACCGGCTTCGATGGTTTGTTGGGCCCTTCTCATGTCGGCACCGGTTGTTTTTTCAGAAGACGAGCCTTCTATGGAAATCCATCTTCGCAAACTTTGGAACAAACAAGAATACAATCAATCCGGTCCGACATGTTGTCCCGGTGTCATGAGGTAGCTAAGAGTAACTTCGAAGCCCAAACTAAATGGGGATATGAGGTAATTAAGTAATTGGATTATTTATAATATCGTCACTGCGATAAAATCGACTTTATAAGACATTAAATATATGTAAATGTCATAACAAAATGTTCTTATTGGACTTGAGATTATAACAGCAAACAATTGTGCATTTGATGCAAAAGTTTACAGGTAAGTTGATGGATTATTTTTGGACACAGTTATTTGAAAAAACATCTTACAATTTCTCAAAAAAGTGTCATACAGAAAAAACCAATAAGACGTCTATCAACTTATTGTAACACTCTTACAAATGACGCAATTGTTTGATTTTATAAATCTAAGTCCTGTAAAGTTGTCTATTAAGACATCTGAATATATATTTGAAGTCCTATAAATCGAATTTTGCTGTCATGACTATAATAAGCTCTGTTATTGTCCTACATTTAGCTAAGTTGGCATGATTTGTTCAGTTGGGGTATCGATATGGATCGATGTTAGAAGACTTCGACACAGGCTATCATCTTCATTGCAAAGGATGGAGGTCCGTTTTTTGTTTACCGAACAGGCCCGCGTTCTTAGGGACCGCACCGATGAACCTTCATGACTTACTCAATCAAACCCAAAGATGGTCCATGGGTCTATTAGATATGAACTTTTCTAGGTACAACCCAATTAAGCATGGCTGCAAACACTTGCCCCTTTTTCAAGCTCTGTGTTACACTCATTACATCTCTTGGCCCATTTGGTGCATCCCACTCCTTATTTATTCCCATTTACCCCAACTGGCCCTCATCCACTCTCTTCCAATTTTTCCCAAGGTATTATTCTCGACTACTCATCATAAATCAATACTATAACCGTTAACAACCACCATTTTTATGAGTATTCATGATAAACGTTACCTGTTATATAGGTTTCAGATCCATGGTTTTTGTTATATGCCTTCCTTTTCATCGGAGCATATGGTCAAGATTTTCTTGAATTCAAACTGGGAGGCGGAACAGCACGAGGATGGTACAATAACCAACGAGCGTGGATTATTAGAAGTCTCTCGAGCTACACGTATGCTGTAATCGAGTATATGCTGACAAAGTTATGCGCCTCTTCCGCTGTGTTCAATGTCACGAGCAAAGTGGTCGACGAAGAAGCAAGTACAAGATACAAGCATGGAATGGTGGAATTTGGAGTCGAATCGCTCTTCTTCTACCCGATATCTGTGGCAGCTCTACTCAACCTAATCGCGCTTATATTTGGAGTCATGGGAGTTTTCAAACACGGAGGACTACAAGACTTGTTCCTGCAGTTCTTGTTGGTTGGTTTTGGTGTGGTTAATAGTTGGCCAGTTTATCAAGCCATGGTCCTCAGGAATGACCCTGGAAAGATGCCGCTGAAAATAACGTTAACGTCGTTTGCCATTGCTTCCATGCTTTATCTAGTTGCCCCTAAACCATAAACCAGTTCCATATCTGTATTAAGATTATTATGGCGTGAATATTTTGCAGACTACAAAGCAACCCCATAGATTCATGGTGTTCTACATAAAACATCACAAGCCAACTATTTAATTCTACATGAACTAAGAAGTGGGGTCTGAGGTTAGGTCTACATTGATCTTTATCTTGGACCCCACCTCTGGTTTTTATTCTACATGAAGCAATTAATACTTCCTCTTTCTTATCTTGAAGGTGGATGATCTGATCACATCATCATCCATCTTCAACGTAGACTCGAGTACCTCCAAGGAGTCGGGTTTTGTGAAATACGCAAATAAAAGATAGATGCCATCTAAGTAGGTGTTGGTTTCGCCAGCTTTGTTTTTCTTTTTGATGCTGTAAGCTAACGGAATGACTCCTCTGTTGAATACCTCTACGTACATTCCACCTCCAGCAACAAGCAACTGAAACAACCATAAAAATGATCGAAATTGAACTCGTTACTAATACCCTAATTACATATGTACACCTGCAAAAGAGTCGATCGATTTGAGGAAATATGACATCAAAATGAAAGCGCTTTCTTTGATCATAATTTGTAAGAGATAGATGCCCAATTCAAGAAACTTGTGCAACAAACTTGTGATCCTCTATGATCTTAAATCGAACTATCGAAGCAGCAACTACAGGCATCAATAATTACTAGGAGCCTAATCAACCAAGTTTTTCTTTGTTGAATTCACTCATTACAGATTTACAGCGAAAAGGGTCATAAATCATGTGGGCTTGATGATGAACATGAAGTGATACAGTCTTCTAATTCTACAATTGAAGTTATACTTTTCAAACAGATGAAATAGAAATCATATAAACTCGTAATCATTATCTATTCATAGTCCAATTGGGATGTAATTACTGTGAAAAATCATATGATTGGATGTTCATAAAAGTGATGATACCTCTTCGTATTTCTGGGTTAGAGAGAGGCGTTCATCTTCAGACATATCGGGTCTTAAAACAGCCATGGTTTCATATTGTCTTAAACCCGGGGGGCATTGGGGTTCCTGTTGTTCTTCAACGGCAGTGATGGATGGTGTGTTGGGTTCATCTTCACCACCAAATCCTCCTTCGAAGAATGAACCTGAGAAATCAAGGGTTTGGGCCTTAATTACAAAACCTTGAAAGGGGTTTCTTCTAATTTGATGATTACGGACAAAAGATGGGAACTTGTTGTTGGGGAACGGGACTAGGGTTTGAAGCAGAGGACGGGATGCGAGTACAGAAGAACACGTAGCCATCATGGTTGAGGAGACGAGATGGCTACGTTACACTGGAAGGGATGTTAACCGTACCTAAATTAGGTTATACAGCGTATGATTTTGGCTTAAATAGATTAAGTTATATAATTCTGATAAAAAACTGTTTGTTAGTTGCTTAATGATTTTGTATAAAATTGTAAAAGCCAAAAATTTGCTTATAAAAAAGTTATTCCTCATTCAATACATTGATTGTTTATTAAGAACATATAACAAATGTAAGTATTTTAATTTGTTTAGTGGCTATTTGGTTGGGTTTTTATAATGTTCATTATAAATTAATTTACGTATATAAAGAATTCTATTTGATGGGATTTTCTCATTTATGTGTTTTTTTTAATTGAAATGATATGTTTGGAAAAAAAAAACTTTGACTTTATATATATATAAAGCTTCCTTTAAAAGAATGAATATGTCATTTTTTATATCATTAAGTCAGTACCAAACAATCATGTGTACTTGACTAAGAGCTTGTTTGTTAGTAGCTTAATGATCTTAATGGGGCCCACAACTTATTTATTAAGTTATATATGACTATTTGGTAGTACTTAATGATATAGAAAAGAGTTTATTCAATAAGCTTATAGAGGAAGTTTTATGTAGAAAGCCAAAAAATTTCATGTCATTTGAAGTTAAAAAACAATTACTTTCATTTATGGAAAAACTTTTGCAAACAGAAATCTTCTCAATTTATACAGACATATTAATCTATATAGACATCTTTATCCATACTAGATTTAATGAAAAATCAATCAAATAAATTATAAGTCTCATTAAACTCATAACTGTTAACGAACAGACCCTTAGACTTAATAAATACAAAACTTATTGAGAATTGAGAAATACAAAATTGTATCTCTTTAAAAGTCACAAAAACTGACCCAATGGATTCAACCCTTTTTCTGCGACGTTTGGGCCTTGTCCAATATAAGGCCCACGGGTTGAAACCCAAAACGTCTGGGTCCATAAGATCCGACCCTATCTTATGGTGCCCGCTTTTATATTGCAAAATAGCTTTCTTGGGGAGAAGGGAAGCAGAAGAAGAAGCAAACATCAAAGAGAGAAAGGGAGAGATATCAGTTTTGAAGAAGGTATGGATCCTAAGCTAACCGAGGTCTCACAGCTCTTCGAGCGATTCAAAGCTGCCTTAGTACGTAACGATTTCGATACTTGTTCCAGATTGCTCTCTCAACTTAAGGTACCCCCAAATTCATCATAAACCCTAATTACACTCGCTGTTTTTTTAATGTTCCTTTCCGTTTATTATGAATCTATGTTTGATATAAATTACAAGTTGAGTAAATTCATTAGCCCAAATGGAGATTTATTCAGTTGATGTTACTGGACATAGATAAAAAAAAAAAATCCAGAATTGAGATCTAAGATGTAGTATTATTCTTTTATAATTTTGATGTATGTCATATACTTAAGGTGCTATTTCTGAGTTTAAGGAGTTATTTGAACTAAGTTTTGAGGACAATGATGGACGGTGTAAGTTTTTCTTTTTCAAAATTGCTTACTATCAAAGTCCCAGGATTCGGTTTAATGACTATGGATCGGGTTCCTTCCTTGGTTGTTTCAATTAAAGAAAACCTTGGAACGATTGACGTGATTTAGGATAGTCAGGAGTCAGGACATATTATAACCAAGGGCTGTTCAGTCAGGACATCTGATAAGGTGTATGTTTTACAGTCGAAAAATATCACAATCCACAGTTGGATAACTACCAAGGGCTGTTCAGCCATTATTTGATAGTTATAGAGTAATTTATGTAATTTGTTATTGTGTGGCAAGTGTATATTCATTTCTTCTATTTGGTTGTTAGGCTGGAAGTGTTCTTTTTTGTTGGCTCCTGTATAAATATGATTCTCGTGGCAGTAAGTTAGTAATGGAAATATATATCATCTCTTCATCATTCTGCCACTGTTGACAATTATAACACTGCAAATAGTTAATGTATAAATATGGATTTGGAACAATATAATGCATAGTGAGATAAGATTAAATCTGTTTTGGGGGTTAAGGTGCTGAAGAATTGATGTAGTCTTGTCTGTTTCAAAATAGAGACACAGCTACTGCCTGACCCAGAGCGGGAACCAATATAGCTTTATACCTAGTATAATTGTTGAGGAAGCAGTGCACGGCATAACTAGGTAACATGTTAGAAGTTCAAATTACGAAGACCCTTTGTGCTAATGGTTGGCATAATCATATTGAGGAAGTAATTACGAAGTGATTTGTTTTTAAATACTAGATTCATCATTCGTACCAGGTTTTTGAGTTAATCTAATCAGTCGAAATTGAGCTACCTGCATTGGACATTTCATGACATTTTGGTCTAACATATGCCATATGGCTTGAATTTCCTTGCCAATTGAGTATCAACTTTGGTGAGTTATGTGAACTGGATGGGACAACAAGGCTTGTGAAATTGCTTGAGCAAACATAACTGTGATGCTAACCATATCACATATCAGCAGTATATAATCTGTTTTGATTCTTAACTTGCAGATCCTGCTAATAGAATTTAAAAGCCTCCCTCCATTGTTTGAAGAAACGTCTAATGCAATTCAAGAATTAACTCTAGCAAGTAAGTATTCAGTATCTTGTATTTCGCTGCATCTTTCTCACAGTGATTGTACAGTGATCCTTTATATGTTATGGCTTATGCATACCTATGACTCTTGCACACATCCAGATTCCAGATACACAAGGCCTGTTTCTGCCCATAAATTACTCAGGGATAGCGAGAACTGTGTAATTTTCAGTTTCCCTGTTATATTTGCAGGAGATGATCCATGTGAACTCTGAATAGGTTTAATTTTGATGTTATTCATGTACATTGATGAAGCATCTATGATTGAAGCTAATTGATGAAGTGTATCATATTATTGTAACTGGATGTAACTATCATCGATCACTAAGAATAAGCTTGTGATCCTTTATGTTTTTCAACCTTTAAAGCATCAACTTGAAAACCTGAATAGTGAATTCGGCAACAACCCCTAAGAAAGGGTAAAAATCTGATTGCTTAGAATGATAAAAAATTAGAATAAAAAAGAGCTTGTTTCTGAATTCCAACTTCTCGCAAGTGAATGGATTGATTTTCCCCCCCAGGGTGACTTCACTACCTGGATCGTTATCTTTTCAACTCGTTCTGGCAGCTATTTTAATGGCACCCGTATTTCATCTAGTCTAGATCAATTTCCTAAGAGCTTCTTCTCTAGCAGGCAATTTGGCCCACAAACTCATATTCTATCAACCATAGAGAAACGGGTATAGAGAAGGAACTAAATCCCTAGAACTTTCTGAAGTTTATGCTTTAGCCTAAGCTCAGACTCTCTTTGAGCTTCTTGTCTCCCCTGCTTGTTTTATTTCTTATATAAGATACCATGCTGCTTTGGATGAGGAGATGTAGATGCATCCAATCTTTAGGTGAGAGGAAACTATTAAAATGAAGGGAAGGTAAAAGAAGATGAGTAATCCACTTGAATGTTCTTCAAAGCATGTATTTTGTGCAAGAACTCAGAGATAAAAGCAAACGGCTCTTTAGGGAACATTGAACTTCCACTCAAAAATTCGTCCAAGGCTTATCTTTTATAGCGTCTACAAAGTTGGCCCCTCATTACTAAAGAACTAAAGAACCCCTAAATAAAATAGGAAATCTATTAAAGTTATGAAATCCTAATTATTTAAAACTAATGGGGTATTATACTGTTAAAAGCAAATTCATTCCTCCATTATTTAGCATAAGAAACCCTAGACAATAATTTGTAAATAGCTCTCCCAGTTTGGTTAGCCCATAACAAAAATGGCACATTACATAAACAAAATCCCTTGGTAGCTTGGACTTGAATTAAGTTGTATTGGAATCGATCTGCATTTGTTCCAGAGCTATGATGTCCTTTTAAGGCTTGTTGAAGCTTCTTGGATCAAGATCTTGTTATGGGTTCTTGACCTTGATCGTAGTCTCCTTGATCACTCTCATATGGTGCCTGAGCTGTTCCCTAACATCTACCCTCACTGAATACATGGAATTTGCATATGATTTGAATAATCAACCAATATAAAGATCTGTTTCTGCACACTCCATGTCCTTGTTCGGCTCTTATAAAATCCGTTTTTGACGATTTCAGGGGATATTTACGAGCATGCTGTTGTACTTAGTGTAAAGATGGAAGATCAAGATGCATTTGAGAGAGATTTCTTTCAGCTGAAGCCTTACTACACAGATGCAGGGTAATGTTCCTTCGGCTTCCTAATACCTTCCTGAAATCCTTGTGATGGTTAAATGTTTTACAAAAAATGTTCTAATTTTTTAAAATAGAATTTAGTCGGGCCTTGTGTCCTTTTGCAATCTGTAGTGGGTTATTACTGCTTCTCCATTTTTCCTCGGTTAGGCTATCTGAAGACTAGGTACACCTGGTATATATCCTTCTCATATTCAGTAACCCGTCTACATGATACACTTTTTTTTTTTTTGGGGGGGGGGGTTTCTAGATGGAAACAGGGTAATGTAGTTCTTAGCTTTTTAATTTGATACCATTCGTGAACTTATGTACCATTTCCTTCACATGATTTCAATCTTGTTTTTTATTGGAACAGTGGTCGGCTTCCGCAATCCCCCCAGGAGTACCCCATCTTAGGTCTCAACCTGTTGAGACTTCTTGTACAAAACAGAATTGCTGAGTTTCACACTGAATTAGAGTTGCTTTCCACCAGCGCTCTTGAAAACCCTTGTATCAAACATGCAGTTGAGCTTGAACAATCGTTCATGGAAGGGGCTTACAATCGGGTACTGAGTGCTAGACAGACGGTACCTCATGAAACTTACGTTTATTTCATGGATCTGTTGGCAAGAACAGTCAGGTCAGAATTGCTTGATTTGTGTGTCTTAACTTACCAGTAACTTTTAGATGTTAGTTGCTACATTAGGGCGTGTTTGGTATCTAGATAGGACAGGACATAACAGTTGTTCAGTGTTTAATAATTGGATAGGAATGAAAAGATAAAATGACCAATTTATCCCTAATGAGTTGTTTATATATTTTAGCTAATGTATGTAATTTATTTGATTAGAAGAAAACAAATATTTTTTATAACAAAATATATCATTAGAAAGTTTTTGTCAAGACGATTAAAATGACACCAAAATAAAAAATTTAAGTAGTTTCCAATTTTTATTTTATATCTTTTCAATATTATTTTTATTATTAATATTTGATAAATTACATAAGTTAATTGAGGACAGTAAAGTGGAAGTTTAAAGAACATGAATACAATAAATAAAATTTAAAGAACGAGTAAAATATAAAGAGAGAGGTGTATTTGGTGTTTTAGAAATGAAGTAGATTCTATTTTGAGTTTATATTGGTAAAATACAGATCTTTTCCACCTTGTTCCATGGGTAGGGCCTGTTCCACTATGTTCTGTCATGTCCAGTGTACCAAATGCACCCTTATAGAACAAGATTCCTAGTTATAGGTGCAAATCAGTTGTGCTATTTTTACAATTTTCAGTAGTTCATAATTCATTTGCCGCAGGGATGAGATCGCTGGGTGCAGTGAGAAGGCATACGACTCTCTTACTGTTAAAGATGCGCGACAAATGCTACTGCTTTCCTCAGACCAAGAACTTTTTGAATACATCAAGGAGGTAGCCATATCAAAAGAATTCATGTCGTATTAAGCTTACAATTTTTACTAAAGATTCTCGAGTGTGAACGAAATGTGATATTATTATTTATGAATATGATGTTGAAATGAAAATTGCAGGAGCATCCAGAATGGGAGGTAAAGAATGGATCAGTGGTATTCCAGAAGGCCAAAGAATCTGCACCATGCAAGGAGATTCCATCTCTCCAACTCATAAACCAGACTCTGAGTTACGCAAGGGAGTTGGAGCGCATCGTTTGATTTCATTTTCACACAGAAAAAAAGGAGAACGAACGAACGAACGAACTCACTCGTCTATCTTATCTGCTTTCTCGACGACTGCCTGTGGTTTTGTACTTTTACCATTTAATTTCACTGGGAATATGCATGAACATCAATTGCATTTGGTGGTCAATTGAATATGTGTTTGGATTCTTTTAATGTGTTCACGAAAGATTTCCTCAAGTTTCAACTACCCGTCTTGATTTCAATTTATTTTATAAAATTAAATAATGGTTTTGTTTATATTTAAATGTATTTGGTAGTAAATAACATAAGTCGTAGAGGGGGGTTTAATGATTTATGATGATGTTAACGAATTAGACAAGGAAATCTCAACAATTAAATGGTTACATTATTGGGTCTTGTGTGTTGTTCTCTAATACCACCACCACTATCACCATCGTTGTTTTTAAACTATTAAGTTGCATTCATTCTCGTTGACCTTTCCAATTATTTTCTTAGTACAAACAACTAACAAGCAAAGCATTACATTATGAAAGGTTCTAATAAACAAACCTAACACATAAAGAATTCTTATAATAACTTCACAGCTCTTTAAGTTGTTATACAAATAATCTTGAAATTGTAATATGTTAGTTTTTTTTTATAAATTTTTCTTGACTTTATTTCCAATATAATAATTGATGTCTATATATATATATTTATTTAACTTATATTATATACAAGACCACCAAATAGGTTTTCGTTAGAACTATCATATAGAGTTTTGTGTAGGTTATTAATTTGGTGAGCTGGAAATGACTTTGCAAGGAAAAGTAGGAAAAGTTTCAATGCAAAGTTTTTATAAGCAAAAAGTATAAATAGGTTATCTTTAGAACTAATATTGTGGAGAGTTCTTATAAGAACTTCACCTCCTTTCGGTTCTTACCATTAAGTTTGTGTGAAGTGACAATTTTTTTGTTTTTTTATATATTTTATTGACTTTATAATTACTAGTATTATATATACTAATTATTGATGTCTAAAATATACATGGGATCCACGAAAAGGAGGTTCTTATAAAAACTATCATTATAAACTTTATGTGTGTTGTTAATTTGATCGGTGACGGTCAAAGGCTGTTTTCCAAGGTTGTCTTGTTGGTAAAAAGAAATTCTTTTTAATAATTGTGGGCGTTTAAACCAACTTATGCCGTCTCGACTAATCTTATAGTGCTTTGAAGTTAACCAGTTCGACAAACCCAACCCTCAAAACTTGAATTTTGTATAAACCACCAGAAACTTGCTTAATAAGCCACTTTCTACGTCTATTAAGCCACTACCAAATAATCTTATATAACTGATCGAATAATGAGTCCTATTAAACTCATTAAGCTTATACCCAACAAACCGTAAAGTATTACCACAAACATTCTTATTAAAATACAGCAAAATTCCCATTCAACCATCGAATCAGATATACAGACAAATTGTGTATATGTGGTATCTAAAGCATATATTAGTGAACGATATTATCAATGTTGAAGCTATGCCTCCAAAACCAACCATACAGAAGCCACCAAGCTAGTCCTCTTCAAGTCCCACCTTTTTGTTCACATTATTGATCATTAATTTGTACATTTTCCATCTCTCTCTTTCAGCTTTTATAGCCGACATGCCCTACAACTCTACTCTTCCCTGTCATCAAGAAATCTTGATCAAGTTCCATTCTTTAATTATACCAACTCTCATTTGATTGGATCTTTGCCGTTATTCATTACAATTGGAATCAATCAAACCTGTAGTTACCATCTCTTCAAAGATTCAGTTCAGAAAGAATCTGGGTTTGAATCAATTCTCTGTGTGTGTTCTTGGTGAAGGTTGTTTATCTCCCATGGAGGCTAAAGATACATCATCATCATCATCATCTTGTTTTCAAGAAATCTTGATAAAGTTCCATTCTTTAATTATACCAAGTATCATTTGATAGGATCTTTACTGCAATTCATTAAAATTGGAATCTGGGTAGGTTATCAAACCTGTAGTTTAATTGAATGGTATCTAGCCTGCAATCTCTTCAAAGATTCAATTCAGAAAGAATCTGGGTTTAAGTCAATTCTGTGTGTGTGTGTGTGTGTTCGTGCAGGTGAAGGTTGTTTATCTCCCATGGAGGCTAAAGATACATCATCGTCATCTCCATCAAATCTTCATCCACCTTCAAATTATGATGAAATCTTCATGCAACGCAGCTTGCTCTTTGCTGATAGTCTCAAGGTCTGTTTAAAGTTGCTAAACTTGATCTTCCTTTTAAGATATTTTAACAAGTTTTCATATTCTAGAATCAGTAATTCACTACTGTAAACCCAACTATTGTTCTTGTGAAATTGCCTAAAACCCCCAAGATTTTCAAGAAATTTGGATTTTGGGCCCGGATTCTGGAAATTACCACTTTCGGATTTCGCAAGAACGATGATTTCTTTGCAATGAACCACGATGGTTTGATGATTCGATGACACTTTTCGAGAGCACGAAAACAGAAATCGACTTCCTTTCTAACCGTAGGAATTATTAACTTAAAGGACTTGAGGACTATACGAACTCAGTTGTACTCGGCTGCAGAGTTCTTTGAAGATTCGTATCATGGAAATGATCATGACCAATTGTAAGTAAATGGATCATATATTCCAATGCCTTCGCTAGTTTGATATAAGTTATCTTCTAAGTCTGCTACTTTCTTGCTCGTAGATTGTTTGAAAGCTTAAAAGATTATGTGTCGAAAGCTCTCATTAGCACCATCGATCATTTGGGCTCTGTGACCTCTAAAGTCGATAGTTTCTTGAATGAAAATGTCGATGAAGTTTTTGAAACAAATCTTGGAGTATTATGCATGGAACAGGTACAATACAGATCCTTTTACGTCTTAGAAGATCGTTGTTTTGTGTTTTTCTCTCGTGGGTTTGTGTGTGTGTGTGATTTTCTTCGAGATTGTTGCAGAGACTACGAACGTGCCAAACATATAGCGACCACGAGGGTCTTTCGCAACAATCGTTGGTGATACAGATACCCAAGTACCATAAGCAGTACCATCTCCCAGGTCGATTGTTCGTTATAAGAGAATCTAGATCCGAATTGTGTCTTAATACATGCGTCATTGATCACTCAAAATACATGTTTTGAAACACAATTCAAGTGATCGTGTTGTAGAGACGATCAACCGTTTTAAAGTAATGGTACACACCGATTATAACGAACTTTTATCAATGTAGACGGACGCTTTTCCGGAGCCGTGAAAGCGGAAAAAGCAAAGGCTGAAACATTGGGTTTGAGGTAATTTTCCTTACTTTAAGCGGAAAGGGACCTTGAGAACCAACTACATCATTGATTATTCACGATGAATAACTCTTAATGATCGTAAATATTATTTATCATACACTTTCATCATGAATATCTATCACGATATTCATTATGAATAACATATGTTCTCAAGGTCTTGAAGTCTTTATGGTTCTCATTTCTAACCTTGAATAACATGTTATTTAAGCAACGTTATCGCTTGCATCACTGCGACAAAATTGATTTTGTAAGACGACTAAAATGTAGAAGCGCCCTAAAAAACACTTTATAGGACCAAACCAGAAAGTGTCATGTCTAAAAATGTTACAATAGATTTATAGAACATTTTTAGGCATTTTAACAAGTTTTTTAGAATGTTTTTAAAATAAACTGTATGTGAAAAATTGTCATATAAAAAGATGAGTTTATAAGGCACTTATCAAAAGTGTCCTATAAAAATAGCTAATAGGACAATTTATTTTAAAAGCTCCCTGAATTTTTTGTTAAAACGTCATAAAAACCTGTTGCAATGTTTTTAGATATGACACTTAGACAATCTAAACGTCCTATAAAGCCAATTTTGTTGTAGTGCCTCCATTGGAGTTTCGCGCGCTCATAATATGAGATTCTTGCACAGGAGAGGGCATACCCAACAAGCTTCTGTCTCGGATTTCGTTGCCTTTTCATTCACAAAACCTGCATTAACCAAAGGATCAGGTTAGCAAGAACCGAGTTTCGTATTGATTTCAACTTTCAAACTCGATGTACTGACTTAATTAGCGTTTACCTGATAACCAGAAAAACGATCACGATCCATTTCACCAAGTCGGTTCAGAATCAAGCGATCAGGGTCAGGGTCTGCTGCTAATCAATTCAGCACTCCAAGCTTTCCAGCGATGCGATCTGGATCTTCTATTCATCAATCCATCAGTCCAAGCAGTAGACAGCAAGTAAGCACAAAAGAAGCTGATCATACTTTCTTCTTAACAACTAGGCTAACTGTACCAGATATTGTCCGCAACTTAAAAAGCATGTGGACTTGAGGCTTATAAGGAGCTCACAAATCCCATTTTCTATCCATGTGGGACGACTCCGGTTGTTATAAGCTCCACCACTTAAACTCCTGACGTCCTTGTCAGACCTGCCCAAAATCTTCCTCCTTATAATCGACGATGTGGGATTCGCCTATGATGTTATAAATACCCCTCGATGACTCATCATACCAGATGAGGTTAATTTGCCCCACCATCAGGATGGTACAAGGATCGGCTCCGATACAATTTGTAACATCTCAAGCTAACCGTAACAGATATTGTTTGTTTTGTCCACATCTGGACTCATGATTTTAAAATGCGTCTGATAAAGGAGCTATCTAGTCCGTTATAAAGCAACATGTGTTCCCCTCCTAATCGATGTGGGATCTTACATTATCCTAGTTGATCGTGTATGTATTGTGCATCTAACATCATTCGTGTATGATTGCAGAATCCGGCAGAGGGTTGGAGATCGCATTCGTTGTATCCTGAAAGAGAAAAAAGAAAAGATATCGAAGTTTACTCCAAGAAAACTAGAAACCTTTTCAAAGCATTGCTTAGCATGCACAAGTACAAGAACGAGAGCGGACCCCCCTATCGATAGCGTGTACACCAATGACACCATTTTGCCGATTTCGAAGCTCCAACCGCAGGCAAAAAGAACTGCCATATTCCGGCATATATGTCGGGTGGTTCGAGTTTAAATTTATTTTGGTGTTTTTACTGTGTTTTGGTTGGTGATGGTCTTAGTCAACCTTTATCTACTAAATAAGAAATTGGACTAATACCAAAATGTTCGAGTTTCTCAAACGGTCATTTTTACTCTTAAAGCAAGATACAACGGGGTACGAATGTAATCTTGTCGGGTTAACTCAACTGCCAGTAAAGCGGGATTTTGGAGATCCACATTAGCGCTCACCATCAAAACTTCAATAATTACTTGAATATGGAAAAAAAAACGATTAAATTTTATTGGCGCCCAACGAAAGACAAATAGCGTGAAATCCAGTCACATAATGTCGTTCAGCTGCTACATAGTCACGTATGGCCAACGGCCATGTAAGAATCTGCAATTTGGATGCTAGCATCTTCAACAATAGGAATCAAGAAACCGGTGTTCTAACAAGAAAGAAACTTTTGTGCACAAATCCAATACAAAAAACTTATTTTTTTAAATTCCAGAGTATCATCTCTGATTTAAGCCCGACTGCAAACATCACGACCAAAATGTTCATTCTTGTACAACCACGCTTATCTCACCCTTCTCCAGAAGGTCATAGAACGCCCTTGATTTTCTCTGCTCGTTCCAGTGATGCATCTTCCACAAACCACCAGCAGCTAACCCAAGCACCGATCCAATGATCAACTCCTTGACCACACTTGGGCCTTTCAAGACAGGATGAGCAACCCGACCCCCAACCATTTTAATTCTCTAGTCAAAAGCCAACAAAACATAAATCAGTGTTTCATAATAAATAAATTGATCCCATACACAAGCATGATGACAGAAGTACACAAAAAACACATCATTATTGGGATCCAATAAAAGCCAGCTCAAAGGACTTGGGGCATCAAGTCCAGCGAAGTCCACTTCGGTCGAAGAAAACACCAACTGTTCAATCTTTCATCTCCCCCTCTATATGTTCCACAATCATCCCAAGAAGAAAAGGATCAAGTTGAAACGGGGCCATGCTTTACGATATCCTAGATCTATATGGATTCAATTATTATTAGCCCATAAGCCAAGTGTAAGGTCCTGTTTGGTTGGTTTTCCATCAAGTCCTGTATGGATAAAGCCATCTGTGTGGATCAATCTGTTTGTATAGATCAGGAAGTTTTTGTTTGGGAGGGTTTCTTCATTAATGGAATGAGTGTGTTCTTTAATAGGGACGGACAGGTTTGGAAAAAACTTGGCTTTCTGCATAAAGCTCCCTCCTAGAAGCTTACCCAATAAATCACTTTCCATATCATCAAGCCACTACCAAACAGTCATATATAGGTAACCAAGTAAGCTGTGAGTCCCGTTAACCTCATTAAGTTGCTAACAAACAGGCCCTAAGACAAGCATGCACATCACATTGCAAAATATCTTATTGGCCATGTGAATTTGTTAAGCTGTGGGGCGACCTTTTAACATGTCTGCTGAATTTTGTAAGAGCAGTAGCATACATAAAAGGTCATTCCTACAATGCTAGTAATATAAAATAAATGAAAACCCATTCACTACCATCAGATGATCTGAATATTATCACTTTTGAGTCAGATAATAAAAGTGAACAGATTAAAACATACACATTTGCAATATCAAACATATCAACCTAAAACTGCAATAATGTACATAAATATATGGCATAAAGCAAACATCAAATTCAAATATACACACATATTCACATTCATAGGCCACTTTAACTAACATTTGAGAAAGAGCAGACAATAAAATCATTGCCCTATCCATTTCTCAACATAAAATAATATCATACCAAGACATATTACATGAAAATGAAGCGTACTTTAGTCTATTCTTATTTTGTATAATGTATCGTAGTTCCAAAACCTTCATTTTGGTACCTCAAATGTGATATCTCAAACATTTAAACCCAATTACATTACACAAAATAGGAACAAGACCAAAGAACTTTCTATTTTAATGTGTTCTCATATATTAGTCATATGTAAGCTAGGTATTCGAGATATCACATCGAAGGTACCAAAATGAAAGTTCTAAGAATACTTCCCACGAAATAGAAATCGGACCAAAAAACTCTGCATCTTCATGCAAATTGCCTTAAATATTAACAATTCTCTACAAGTCACTGAAAAGATCACAACTTCCACCAAAGGGATACCACAATGTTTACTTTTATAGGTTTCTTTTCTTTCACTTCTTTCTTTCTGCCATTTCCAGAACTCAGATAGAGCATAGAGAAATTAGTACTTCTCTGGATGTCTCAAATTAACTTACCAACATAAAAATTTAACATACCCTTGATACAAGACATATATTGTTTAAATTAGTGTTTATTCGTCTAAAGCTAAGGCCGCCATGTTTATCTAGATCAGATGTTTTTGCCCACCAATAGATGCTTCGCGTTTTCTAGAATTTATTTTCATAGCTTAAATTGAAGCTAAAACAAAAGCTGAAAAATTCCCTTATTATTCAATAGATCGTCAATAAACATTGAACAAAAACAATCGACAATTGGAAATAGCACCCTCAGCAACAATAAACATAGAGATTGAAGTTCATATATCAATGTATTAACAATCGAAGTAAACATAAGAAAAATCGAATCTATGGTGGTCACAGATCTGGTCGTTTTGTGAGTTGAATCTTCTTCTGTAGAGATAGAAAGAGGATGAGAGAGACGGACGGAGGAAGGAATACCTAAAAACGACGGCCGCGGCGACGAAGCTGATGAGACTTTCCGGTACCGATTTCTTCTCTGTTCGTTTGCCCTATGAACGTGCGTTTTGTAATAAAGCTCCAGCTTTTCTCGGCTCGTATCTAGTGAAGGAAAATTGCAACCACGTTCTTCATGATTTGGTATGTTTCAAATCAGGACCATAACTTATAGACATGTACATAAATGCACCTCCATAAATCAATCGAAACTCATACTCACCCCCTATATTTCTATTTTCATGACTTTGTTTCCTTTCCATTTATTTTTGGCCTGCAACTAAATCTGAATCGGAGCTGACAAAGAAGAACCCTCCTTCACTTCGATTCTCACGGTTCGACTAACATGGTAAATTCTTTACCATGGATTTGCTTGTTATTTTTGTCGAATTTGATCTTATTGAATCTTAATTTGATTTACACAGTCGGCGCTGTTCAATTTCCATTCATTTCTGACGGTGGTTTTGTTGGTAATCTGCACATGCACTTTCTTGAAGATGCAATTTCCTACCATCCTTGAACAAAAAACAGGGTTAGATTCTATTTGTTTCAATATTTTATCATTTCTAATTTGATCCATATTGATCTAGGTTTCGACAACCCCTAATTTCGGTCTCAATTGCACCTAGAAAACATCATATATAGTTGAAGTTTAAGAATTTAATTTTGCAAACGCACTTATGTATGCTAAATCCATACAAATTGGAAGGATCATCATAACAGAGATATCCATGTTGGTTAATCATATAACTTTCTGACTTTGTGATGTAAATTCTGATCCATTGCATACATATACTTACATTTATCATTTTTTTGGAGGATCTGTTGGGATTTGTGTTCTAAAAGGTTGTAATAGGTAGCATTGTGATCAAGTATCCTGACCATATGTAGTGCTTGCTGCTCCCTAGGCACCTTATCTGTCGTTAGACAAGTTTTTCAGATGATCGCAACATGATCATGGAACAAGTGTTTGTGTATCTTAGTTTTTGATGGTCCATTTTCTTTTTAGTGTTAATGATGGGTGGGATTATTGGTGATAACTCTTCTCGAAAACAGTCTCTCTGTCTCTTGAGATAGATTCTGTGTAACCCTATTTCCAGGTGGGATATACTGAATTGGTTTTGTTTATGGTGTTTCACTACTTTATGCTTTATTTTGGGATCATTTTTTAACTTACCCCAACTAGCTTGCGAAATAAAGGTTTGTTGTTCTGTTTTTGAAAGATTGTCTTCAGTGAAGTCATCCTACATAAATATAATAGTTTTTGGTTTATGTTCTCAATTTTACATCTGCTGAATGAAATTTGAGTGATTTTAAGGGAACGAACCTATTCCTGTGAACTAATGATCTCCTAAAAGGGGGGTCATGGTTCAGATATTTTTTATGTGTGTGTTGTGCAGAGCTTTTAGACTTAGGGTCTGTGTGTTAGCAGCTTAATGAGCTTAATGGGACTCGCAGCTTATTAGGTCAGCTATACATAACTATTTGGTAGTGACTTAATGATATAGAAAGTGGCTTATTCAGTAAGCTTTTAGGGGGAAGCTTTATGCAGGAAGCCAAGTTTTTTCTAAATCTGTTCCTCCCAATTAAAGAACACGCTTCTTAATCTATACAGACAGATTAACCCACAGATACCACTTTATCCATACAGGACTTCATGGAAAACCAACCAAACAACCCCTTACCGTGATAAGAAATTATTTTGCGACATCTGTTTCTTATGGCAAGAAGTGCTTTCTAGCCAATGAATAACCACTGGGGTCCCAGACATTCTGTTACTTGAACAGGGATACTGATATCAAAAGTTTGTTTTCATTGTTTCTTATTATAGATTTATAAAACATGATTGTTAGTATATCATATTCAGTTCAATTGACCTTCAGTTAAAAGATGTGCCCTTCTTTGGTCTTCATAGTCACTTATCATATTATTGGGAACCTACAGAAGTCGAAAACTAAGAGGTCAAGACACATACAGTATGCTGCACACACACAATACTGAAGGAAGTGGTAAATAATTCTTTGTATTTGGACAGCCAAAATTAAATGCTGTCATTTGGTTCAAGTAATATGACAAAAAGAATACCTAAAAGTGAAGATGATATAGATAGTTTTTACAGAAATTGAAAGGATTATGATCTATGCACTTTTGATTGAATTGTGTCTAGGCTGTAGTTTTCTTAGACATTACAGCATTTCTGTTGGTCTGTAATTATCTGAAAAACTTCATCTTTTTCAGAAGAATACTCATGGTTTTCTTTCGGATGCACAGGCTCTTCATGAAGTGTCGTTATTCATTTATCTCAGTCGTATTGTATTGTGTTTCTAGTTTTCCGTTATATCTGCTTGAGTACTCGATCTTTAGTTCTTGCTGCAAAAAAAAATTGTATGACATCGTTTTTTTAATAAAGAAAAACCAGGAAACCCCAACTGTTATAATCTTGGTAAGTGGAACACTTCGTATTACCAGACTTGTTAGATAAAAGAAAAGATAGTAAACCCGCCTGATCATTGTAACTCGAGTTAAAGATAGAGGTGCAATCATCAACATGTCACCTATTAATTGCATGGTTCTGTGTTTTCATTTTGTGTCGATGATCGTATGCTGTAGTGACAGCAACAGTATTCGGATTGTACCTCTTATGTCCCTTTGTATTTCGTGTTACTTGCATATCACTAGGTTTTCTCTTCACCTTCACAATTGGTTTTTCTTAAAGTAGTCTTTCTGATTACGTGTTATGCAGATTTCGTGGATTCTTCTGGAAGGCTGCTAGAATAGGTAAGTTTCTGATGGCCATGTACATTGGCATGCTGCTGATATCAAATCCGAGTATGCACTATGATGCATGTTTTTGTGAGACCCATGAGACCACAAAATAACACTGAAACTTCACAGCAAAACATTGTGAAGGTATAAAAACACTGAACCTTCACAATGTTTTGCTGTGAAAGTTTAATGTTATTTATATGGTCTCACATGAACCCAAGTGTTTGACGATATACTTCAATAACAAGTTCTTTTTGCCATTAATATTTGGAACAGGTGAGCGGTTAAGTCCATGGGTAGCCGTTGGATGTTTCACGATGGGCGTCTCCATCATATTTTTCTAAGTTACATTTCTCCTATATTGGGTGGCAACAAGGGTTGGGTTTATTTTTTCATTTTAAGACTTAGATAATAGGTTGCTATTTGTTTTGTAGAAGTTTCTTGTTGACATTTCCTTTTAATAGAAAATATATATACATCTCTTCTACTTGCTCTTTTCTTTGTGCGTGATCCTGTACTACGTTACTTCAAAAACATGTTATCAGATTTATGAAACTTTTGTTTGTTATATCGATATATTCCTTGTATGGAATGATTTACGACTGCCATCGTTTAATATTGAATCTAAACTTGTTATTATTCACTGTGTTCTCGAAAACCATTTTACGAATGAAAGGAGGGGCAAAAATGCATGTTCTTGAAACTTTTTAGCAGGGAAAAAGAGTAAACTTCCATCCCATAGGAAGAAAGGGATGGGATAACCCTAAGGACAATTTAGTAAAATTACAAAACCAATCATCAATTTAATAAAAAATATATAAAAGGTATATTTGTAAAAGTGACATATTTCCTCTCATTTGTTGCCGGTTCAACGACATGAAAGACTCTTTTTCTTTCAATAGCACAAAAATAATCGTTCATTTTCTTTCAATTCTTTTTCCTCCATTTCATTTCATTTATTTTCTACCCAGATTTGAGAACACGATCTTAGAGGCCGTTTACGAAACACTTACCTTGGTAAACGCTTACCAGTTCAATTATCTTACCAGGTAAACATATCAAGGACCGAGAATCTTAGCCCGTAAGAGGAAAGTCAATGATCGAGAGTCTTATCCGGTGAAGGTGATGACTCTTACCCGGTAAGTGTTTACCGGGTTATAAACACTTACCATCGATCCATTTTGATGGTGAGGAATGTTACCCCATAAAATAAATGAAAGTGGTGACTCTTACCGATAAGCGTTTGCCAATAAGTGCCTGCCTACCATGGTAAGCTTTTGATAAACGGCCCCGGAGATTGGAACCAACAGTTTGTCCATAATGGGCAATTGAAGCACCAAAACCTGAACTCAAATTACCCACAAAAACCATGGACCATGTTGTATCTATCACAGAGCACACATAAGCTTTTCGCATGGAGCTTAGAATTAACTTTAAATTGGACAACATACAAAGTGTCAATTATGGACCTAGTTTTTAAAACTACAACCAGCTTAGTTTACTTAATAGAAGAATGGTAGCTGAACTATCTCTTCTTTTTCCCACCCTTGCCAGATTTCGTAGGTACAGCGTTTGAAGTAGCTGCGGGTTCTTGTTTCTTTGTTCTACCAGGGTGTCTAGGAACCAATTCAGCCACACGAACCATCAGCTGTTTTTCTGCAATATCTTTCCACAATTACTACAAACCTAACACAAATTCTCAACACTTGAATACCAATGGCAATGAAATTGATACTTGATACCAAATAAACAATAATTATTTGACAATCTATTGGTGTAATAATGACAGCTGAAGATATAGGAGTATTAGGGTCTGTCGTTAGCAGCTTAATGAGCTTAATGAGACACAACTTATTCAGCTAGCTATACATGACTGTTTGGTCATGTCTTTGTAAATTTTTGTGGTTTCTATTTATCCCACCCGCCATGAGTTATACTTCTGTCCACCAAAAAACAAAGACACAAAATAATCCCTCCGCCCAAAAAATACACTTGACTTGATATATAGATTAATAAATATATATATGGTTATTGATCGCATGTCTAAACTACCCCTAAACGAGGACAAAATAAAGAAAATTTCTGGACCACAATCAAAGTGTCGCATTCTTTTAATAGCGGAAGTAAACTAAATGAATCTTACACTAATATCTACCAATCTACATATATATTAAGTATAATGCAATAATACTACCATGATTTGGGATAAGGCTCCATATTGACATAGAAACAAGATTGCAACTCAACAAAGAGAAGGTTGCTAACGGTATATTTGCCAGAAGCATCTTCTACCATCGTCTTTTAATTAGGGAAATTTACATAAATAGCCAAAGTTGATAGGTGGTTTCACTGTTTAGCCATTTTCTAACCCAAATTCACCTTTTCAGCCAATACTTATGAAGGCTTACTCATATGCGTATATTGGCTATTTCTGTCAATTTCCCTTTTAATTATCTTTGCTTACTTGGCATGGCAACCAATATCATAGCAAAATAAAAAATAGTGTATTCACAACAATCATGTGCAGATAGGCAAATTCACAAACAAAATAATAATAATAAGTCCGATAGAACTATGCTTACTGGATGTAACAACGGGATTGTGTAAGCTCCCATCTGGTCTTTTCAGCAAAACCCTCACCCTCCCTACTTGCATGAAATCCCTTGGATATGCCTTATCAAGCTTCAAAACCATTACAAAGGTTTAGCAATAAAAAGTAACAAAAAACTACTCCCTTCAATCCCAAAAGAGATTCACAATGTTGAGATCAAACTCATAACATTCAATACCATTATGTTTATATTTGTAATAACTGGTGAGATTTAGCTATGTGTTAAAGGTGAATTGCATCAAAATGGAACAAACTTCAAAAACCCTGAACAGAACTACCTTTCAAAACTTGTTAAAACCAAAATGGAATCAAACCGACTAACTTCCATTCCAATTTTAGAAACATTACTTTGGTCATCCCAAGTTTGCAAAGTTGGTTCAATCAAAGGTTGGATTGACAGCAAAATCGATTCAATTTTGGTGCAATTTGCCTATCTTTTGTTCCAAATCAACTTTGATTATGAAAATTACTATCCAAAGAGTACGGAATTTCTCTCCTTTTTCTAAAACCAATATGAAACCTATCAAAAAGGTGGGACGGTGGCTCTTTTGTTAGAAAGAGGGAGTATGTGATATAAAATTACTTTATGACGGGAGCGGGAAAACCTCAATGGCAAAAGGAATTTTGAGGTGACCACAGCAATCACCAATTTCCAGGGCCGTAGGGTTTTCGCATGCTTTTGTTGCGGAGATTCTCCTACCTTCAGCAATTGTCTTCTTTGAATTTATGTAAACAGGGTACAATATGTTCCACTTCTTGAAATTAGGTATACCTCCATCCATTATTCCTGTTAATCACCACATAAAGAACATAAATTTCGATCGATCGTGAAAAGAGGAGAAAGAACGTAAACATCGATGATTAACTGAAATAAATCCTTTGACCAGTACTAATTATGTATAAAAGAGGTGACATCAAATGTACCTGTTTTCTATGTGATGTTGTTGGTAGATTACGGCGTTGACGGAGGTGGCGATTTTGGCGGATTCGCCGGTTGTAAGATGAGAAGTGACCGAGATCTGCAGAAGTAGGACTAGTTGAGGGATTAACCACCCATGAGTCCAACGTCAAGTGATTTATTGGGCTAAACCAATAGTTTAAAAACTCCAAAATCCATAAAATAGCAATCTACTTTTATAAATTTTTTATTATAGTATTGTATTTTTAATTTTTTTATTATACCAATGTACCTTTAAATTATTTTTATTAAGGCATTATACTTTAAAAAATTTACCCATATAGCATTGGATAACCTTTTGATTTAAATTTACCCATTATACTAGATTTTCATGCCACCTCATTGTCCATGTAGGCTGTCAACATATACTATAGTCTATAGTGATATGACTTTCTTACTACATCATTGTACTTTCAAAATTATTTATCCTAGCATCTACTAGTTCTTATTAAACATTGTATTTTTAATTTTAATTTTTAAATATTTTACATGTTATTTAATAAATGTATTAAATGAATTAAAAAATTCTAAATTATTCATTAATATACCAATATCAATAAAACTAGTAGAACACAACTTATGTTGCCAATATTTTAAAAAAATGTGTTTTTTGAAAAAAAAAAAAAAAGAGAATAAGAATTGTTCTTTTTTACCAAAAAATATTATTTTTTAAAGAATATATTACATTTGTTCAAAAACTTTTTACTTGACGTATAAATATATTAAGTTAATTAGATTTTTTTGAATTATTTATTAATATAACAATATTAAAAAATTGTAGATAACAGTTTATTTCGTTAATATTTTAAAGAGAACTTCAAAAGATATGTATTTATTTGAATAACATAAAATAGGAAAAATTATATTTTTTACAAACAAAATATATCTCAAAAATAATATTTCATATTTATTTAATAAATATTTTACTCTAACAATATTTAATTTGAATGCAACTTAATAAGAAAAAATAAAAAAAATGTTTTTTTTAGATCATAGCAATAAAAAATAAAAATTACTAATAATAATTTGAAAAAAGTTTTTATTTTAATTTTAGTTAAGTTATCAAAATGATGTGTCATCCAATCACCTCATTAAAGCCACACAAGCAAAAAAGTCAAAGGGTTAACCGGTTTAAAAGGTAACAAGTTACTCATTGCTATTATGGGTAGATTTTTTAAAGTACAATGCCTTAATAAAAAATAATATGAAAGTACATTGTTGTAATAAAGAAAAACAAAAGTAGAATGCTATAATAAGAAATTTCATAGAAGTAGGTTGTTATTTCATGCATTTAACCCATCATTAAAATCCTACCAATTTCGGTTTTTATTTTTTCAATTAAATTTTTATTTAACCAAAAATTTACATGGAAATCTAAATCGTTAGGAAGAGGATTCAAATTGTTGCACAAGGAATTTTTTTCCCTTTATTTTTTCCTAGAAATCAACCTTTATACTTTGGAAAGAATCTCTAGAAAAGGTTAAAAAGTGAATATAGTTAATTGAAGTGGTTATTTTGGTCAATTTTCCATTATCTAAACTCGAAACTTTTATTGGCTAAGCATTAGTGTAACCGTTGGGTGTCCGAGTCAATTTGTGCACACATCACCTAATAAAGAACAATTAGGAAAATCCCACATAGTCTTTCAGGACTCAAACCGTTGAGTTGATATTCCAAAGGTCTTGATGCAAGTTGATAAAATTTAGAATATCTTAGGTCCGTCCGTCCGTTTGATTTGTAGGAATGGAAAGGATTCCGGGGACTTGGAATTCAAATTCATTTCAATTTCGGGTTTGGTTTGAAGAATTGCTAGGATTTCTTTGAAATCTCTCAAACACAAGATTTTAAAATCCCACAGGGTGGTTAAGATTTCGTAGGATTTGTATATAATAATGTTAAAATAAAACATTTGTTTTCTAATAATCAATTAATAAAAAGATAATTTAATTATTTTTATAATTTTTTATGATAATCTTTTATAAATAATGGAATTCAATTCCATTCCAAATCTTATAAACCAAACACATCAAAAATTCCAAGAAATCCAAATTCCTTAAAACCATTGCATGCCCCTTAATATTTATAAAATGATTGTAATTAGGCTGAAGCAAGAGACGCATCATAAGATAAGAACGTGCAATTGGCTGTATTTGTTCCTATTTGGAAGGAAAAAAGAGAACTCCAAATGACTAATTAGAAGCAATATATAGCTTTCATCAAACACACCTAACTTTCTATTTTTTTGGAGAAATCTAAAATGTTGTCTCAAAAGAAACATCCAGCTGCAGAAGAAAAGAAGGGAGAAATAGAGGCAGAAACATCATAAATCACAAATAAAATATACTCCATTCGATACAACAAATTTAGAAAGCAAACTCAAAGCCCAAGAACAATAAGAAGAAAAAAGGGTGTCAATCAAATGATGGGAGAATCAGAAGAAACACTATACACATAACACCATCTTCTATACGGGATATTGCATGCTTGAGGGGGGTAGTAAATAGTGGTAATTAGAGAGAGAATATATTAAAGAAAACACGATTTCTTTTTCTTTTTCTTTTTCTCTTATCAACTTCTAAAACCAAAGGCAGACCATTTCTTCGATGAAGTTTCTTTCTTTGTCCTCTTTGAGTTGGGATCAATAAGGTTCTCCAGTGATTTTGCTTTCTTGTTTCGCGACCTCCCTGCTTCTTTCAGGAGCTCTGCCAGCCTCTTCTTCTCGTCGTCAAAATCTGGGTTTGCTGTTCCCAGCTTTTCTTCTCTTAATTTTAGAACATACTCCAAAATCTCGATTGCATCTTCCACTCTGTATGTTGCATATATTAGATATCCGGAGGACCATAACTAATTTTCTTTCCTTTGTAGCGGAATAAATGACAAACCAACAACATAGTTTTTTATCACCATCAAATTTCAAGTGTACCCGGCGGTTGTTGTAGGGAAATTGACCAACCAAATTCACTTTATTTTAGCCGGAGTTTATGCATTGTATAAAGCCAATCTTCAGATTTAAAAAAGAAAGGAAAAAAAAACTTTATACGCAAGGATTCCCATTTGCGTAAAGATTTTTTTTTCTTTTTTCTTAATCTGGAAATAAGCTTTAAGCAAATTTTGGCTAAAATGGGAATTCAATACTAAAAGTGGGTAAAAAGTGAATTTGGTTGAGAAGATTGGTTATTTTGGTAGTTAATATATTACTCCCTCCGTCCAAAAATAAATGTCCATAATGAAAATGACTCAGTTTTAGGAACGTGGAATTATTGAACTTTTTAATTAACTAAAAGACACTTTTATTCTTAATAATTAAGAGATAAAGTTTCTTCATCACATAATCAAAGGTAGAATGAGAAAATAGAGACTTATTTTGGGACAGAGGGCGTATAATACTGGAACCAACTGAAGAAGTGAATAGTGTAATATAAATCTTAAATGAGATGTTTACCTCCCCAAAGCATCATATGTTGCTGCAAGATTGCTGTATACTCCAAGGGTATCTTGATGACAAGGACCACACTCATGTTCCAAGATTTCCCTTGCTTCTTCAAACAACTCAGCAGCCTCATCTATCTTGAACAGTTGTACACAAGCCAAACCCATCTGGTTCAAAACAACCCCAAAGAATGCTGATTTTCGTTCTCCACTAGCCCTAAGTTTGGCAACAGCATTTTGAAAAGATCCTCTTGCTTCTTCATACCTTCCCACCATGTAAAACATGACACCCATTCTAGCTTCTACTCCTGCAATTGTACTCTGCTGCCCTGGTTTGTCCTCCAATAGTTTCATTGATTTCTGTAACAACCTCAATGCCTCCTCAGGTTCATTAAAAGATTCATATATTGCTGAAATTTCTGTCATTCCACTAGCAATGTCTTCTGGAGTGGTTCCAGGCACGGGTTTCGCGTATATTCTCAGGGCGTTTTCGCAATAAGATCTGGATTCTCGTAGCTTTCCAGTCTTGTAGTAGAGGTCAGCAAGACGTACAAAAACGGAGGCAACTGAAGGGTGGTTGTCACCTTTTGATGCTTTGAACACAGTAAGTGCCTTTTGATAAGAGAACACGGCTTCATCAAAACGGGAGAGTGACAAGTAAATGTTGCCTATGCCGAGATCGATTGCAGCAACTTCGTTATCTTGTCCATTGGCAATCATTGCCATGCTGGCGAGTACAAGGTGTTCCAAGGCTGCTTCGAAATCTCCTTTTGCCTCACATATAAGGGCCATTAACCGTCTATCGGCTGCTTCTTCAAGAGAAGCGGGTGGACTATGCACCCTGTGGATTTCAAGGGTTCTTTTGCACAAGGTATCTGCTTCATCAAATTGCATTGCTTGGACATGGGCCTCAGCTAAGTATCTACATATTCAACCAAAGAACCATCAATTGCAAATTTGGAGCATTCAATATGGAAAGAGTGAGGCATATATAGTAGCCTATGAATAGTTCAACTCAAAAGGAAATTAAAAAGTGTAGTTTCTGTGAAAGTGCTTGAAAGAGGCATGGTCTGGGGCTGTTGGGTTGGTTGTCCATTAAGTCCAGTATGGATAAATTAATTTGTCTGTATAAATTGAGAAGATTTTTGATTGGGAGGTTTTTTCATAGATAGAAGGAGCGTGTTTTTTATTGGGAGGGGGCAGGTTTGGAAGAAAAAAAAACTTAGCTTTCTGCATAAATCTCTCCCAAGCTTATTAAATAAGCCACTTTCTATATCATTAAACAACTACCAAACAATCATGTACAATTGCTGGAATAAGCTACGAGTCCCATTAAGCTCATTAAGCTGCTAACAAACAAATCATTAGATCAGAAGTGGGGTTGTGATCTTAATTTCACCTGCAAGTCTCAGCAACTCTCGGATCCGTATCCCCTAACGCCTCCATCTGAATCTTTAACCCTTCCTTGTAACACTCGATGGAGCGATCAAGCTGCCCCAGCATCGAATGCGTATCACCTAGCTGCATATACCCCGAAAATGCAGCTAGAGCATGATCTGCACCTCTCGAAACCTCAGGAACCTTAATTGCTCTGTCTAACACCGGAATCGCCTCTTCGAACCTCCCCAAGCTGCAGTAAATAGCCGCAACAACATGCAAACACATAGCCAGATCAAGGCTCGGTTCACCTTCAACGGCACAGCGCTCAAACGACTTTGATGCGCGGAGCGCATAATCCAGAGCCTTGCTCGGCCCATCTCCGGACGCGATCGTGTCGCGCGCGAGCTTGAGCAGGAAGGGGCCTAGATCGGGATTGTCCAGCGATGACTCATCAAGCAAAGACTGTTTCTCTGGGGATTTCTTCTTCCCGGATCCCCGATCTGGCGATGGCTTCGCACGTGAGGATGAAGGAGACGGCGACGGAGGCCTCCGTTGTGCCGGTGAGGTTGTTTTGGTGTTAATCGAGTCAGAACGGTCAGGAGTTGGTCGGATCGGGTGGCTGTTGTTGTCTTCGGGAATGGTGATTCGTGGCGGCGTTTTCACTGAAACTAAACCAGGCATGGCTGTAATAAATCAGAAAGCCAACAGCACATGAATCAGTATTTCATAACAAAGAAATCAATCACATATACAAGCATGATGATAAAAGTACACAAATCACACATCATCATAGAAATCCAATAAGAGCCAGCTCAAAGGACCTGGGGCATCAAGTCCAGCGAAGTCCAGTTTAGTAGAAGAAAACACCAACTGTTCAATTTATTGTCTCTTTCTATGAAGTATAAAATAAATATAAAACAATCCACTACCATCAAATGATCTGAATATTATCCATTTGACTCAAATAATGGAAGTGAATAGATTAAAACATATACATTTACAATATCAAGCATATCAATCCAAAACTGAAAAATGTCCATAAATATATGGCATAAAGCAAACATCAAATATTCACACAAATCATAGGCCATTTTAACTCAGTTGAGAAAGAGGAGACGATAAAAGCATCTCCCTCTCCATTTCTCAACTTAATATACTATCATATTGCTTTAAATATTAAAGCAAATTGCATGAAAATAAAACGTACATTAGTTTGATTACTATTTTGTGTAAAGTACTTTCAAAACCTTTATTTTGGTACCCGGGATGTGATATCTCAAAAATTTTAAAACAAATTATGTTATACAAAATAGGAATCAAACCAAAGAACTTTATATTTTCATGTATTCTCATGTGTAAGCTAGGTACCTAAATATTCGAGATATCACATTTGATTTACCCAAATGAAAGTTTTGAGCATACTTCACACAAAATATTTGAGATATCACATCTGCACATGCACTTTCTTAAAGATGCAGTTTCCTACCATCTTTGAACAAAAAACAGGGTTAGATTCTACTTGTTTCAATCTTTGATCACTTCTAATTTGATCCATATTGATCTAAGTTTACCCCTACCTTGGTCTCCGTTGCAATGGAATATTTGAGTCAACAAGATGAAATGAGAATCAAATTGAAAAGGAAATTATTGAGTTTCTTCTTTAGGTCTCAGTCTCCAGCAATGAGTGTGCAATTTTGGATTATTTTTGTAAATTTTCCCAGTCATTAACATCTTATGCCTTTCCTATCCAGTCATATTGTGATATAGGTGTAATCCTAATTCCACTACAGTACACAAATTTCCAATTAAAACCAACAATGGAACCGTGATTTACTAATTAGCATTTCCAATAGAATGAGGTGAACAATATTACCAGATCTGTAAACAACAATGAAACAGATCTGAAAAGCTATGACCAGAGAAATATGAAAAACTATCAACACTTTTAACAGATCTAAAAAACCAATGAAACAGAAAGATGAACAAAGGAGAAGATCCAGAACTATTAACAGAGAAATATGAAAAATTATCAAGAACTATTAACAGAGAGATATGAAAAATTATCAACAACTATTAACAGATCTGTAAACAACAATGAAACAGAAAGATGAACAAAACAACATATGGAAAAACAAAATAGAAGATCTAGAACTATTAACAGAGAATTTTGAAGAAAAAAAAGAGCAATTATCAAAGATCTAGAACTATTAACAGAAGAGAGAGATGCAAAAATGAGATATAGAGGAAGAAGTATACCAGACAATGGGAGGGAAAAGGATGACCGGCGACGGGAGACTTGATCCACTTGAAACTCCGAGCAGCAGGTTTATGAGCTCCGATCGAGCAGCACGTTTGGGTACTGGTGGTTGGGTTTTTTGTGTTGTGGTGAGGTTCTTTTGTTTTAAATGTAAAGGGTCTGTTAATGTAAGGGGTAGTTGTGTAATTATCAATTTAGTTTGTGGTGTCACATATACAACTAAAGGACTAGAAAGGTTGCTAATTGACACAATGAAAGGTTTAAGAGGGTTAACATAGACTCAAAGGAGTCGTTTCTCAAACACTTACCTGGTAAGTGTTTATCGGTAAAATTTAATATTATCATGTATTTACTGGGTAAGATTTTAGTCCATCAAAACGACATATTATACAACAATTTACCCGGTAAGCACTTACCGTGGTAAGAGTCGTCGCCTTCACTTACCGGGTAAAACTCTTAATTTTTGTCTCGCTCTTACCGGATAAGATTCTTGGTTCTTACTATATTCATCTGGTGAGGTAATGTTATTTGGTAAACGCTTATTCGGGTAAGTGTTTGGTAAACGGCTCTTAAGTCCTCTTCCAGGATTTGAAAATGATAAGATGTATACAGATTTTACCTTTACTCTATAAAGTAGAAAAGTTGTAGATGGTCGGTGTGTTGTAGTGACAACAATAAGGGGCTGTTTGGTTCAAGGATTTGGATGTAATTGAAAAGAATTTGAATGGCCAAATCATTTGACCAAATTCCAAATACAATGTTTGGTTCATGGAATAAAACTGATGGAATTCTTTCAATTCCAATAAATTCCTTCACTCAYRGATTTTACATTCCACGGTAATACCCTCGGATTTCAATTCTTTTCCGACAAATTCCTTCCCTAATCCAAATTCATTCAACATTGCGTCTACCATCTCATCTAATTGATATCTGGTTCGATCTCCATCTGGTACGCACTCTCTCTCTCTCTCTCTCTCTCTCTCTCTCTCTCGTAATTTCTTCATTTATACGAGATCGATAGACAACATATGTAATCAAGGAATCGATTCAAAAATCATAAAAGGTCATTCGTTGATATTTAATTCCGATTCTAAAGTTGAATTTCGTAAACCAAACAAAAAAAATTCTAATCCGTTAAGAATTTCATTTCAATTCCATGCAACCAAACGCGATCACAAGGCATAGTCAAATTCCATTCCATTACTTCAAAGTCAATTGATGAATTCAAATTCCATCGAATTTTCTTCTACGAACCAAACGCCCCCTAAGTATTTGGATTGTACCTCTATGTCTCTTTGTATTTCATTTTACGTACATATCACTAGGTTTTCTCTTCACTTTCGCAATTATGAGATCGATTGGTTTTTCTTAGAGTAGTCTTTCTGATTATGTCTTATGCAGATTACGGGGATTATTCTGGAAGGCTGCTAGGATAGACAAGTTTCTAATGGTCGTGTATGTTGCTGATTTAAATCGAAGTACGCACCATTATGACAAATCTTTTTTGGACGATATACTACAAAAAACGGGTGAGCGGTTAAGCCCATGGGTGGGCGTCGGATGCTTCGCGATGGTGTCTCCATCATATTTTTCTAAGTTACATTTCTCCTATATTGGGTGGTAACAATGGTTTATTTTTTCATTTTCAAACTAGATAATAGGTTGCTATTTGTTTGGTACAACTTTCTTGTTGACATTTCCTTTTAATAGAAACTATAGATCTCTTCTACTTGCCTTTTGCGCTTGATTCTTGTACTACGCTTTTTTCAAAGACACGAGAAATCGCTATTAGATTTCTGAAACCTTTGTGATCTGTTTACATGGAGCTTAGAACTAGCTTTAAATCGGACAACATACAAAGTGTCAATTACGGGTCTAGTTTAAACTACACCAGTTCGTACATAAAAAAATAAGAGATTGCGACTGAATAGGAGAATGGGTCGCTGAACTATCTCTTCTTTTTCCCACCCTTGCCAGATTTCGTAGGTACAGCGTTTGAAGTAGCTGCGGGTTCTTGTTTCTTTGTTCTACCAGGGTGTCTAGGAACCAATTCAGCAACACGAATCATCAGCTGTTTTTCTGCAATATGTTTCCACAATTACTACAAAACCTAACGGAAATTCTCAACACTAGTATACCAGTGGCAACGAAGCTGATACCAAATAAACAATAATTATTTGACAATCTATTGGTGTAATAATGGCACAGCCGAAGATATATAGACAACAATAGGGGTAAACTGTTTCTGGTGGTTGGGCAGTGAGAGATGGGCGGGGTTCTGTAAGGCTTGTTTTTCTATTTATTATAGTCCTAATACAAATAGCATACAAATGAAGTGAAACTTGTTCTTAAAGGAATTCAAATTGCAAATCACAAAGGTTTAACATGCTTGTGGTGGAGCCAAACTCTCTGAAGGCAGTAAATTGTCCAGATCAAATTTGGAGGACCATTGAGAAGTTAAGACTTATGTTAGTAGCATTTTTTGCATCAAGTCTGCCTTAGTTTCTAATTGCATACTACTACGGGAAGCTAAAAGAGTAGCAGATTATCTGGTATGAAGCTCATGTGAATCAAAACCAGTTGATTTATGCAGTCTCTTGGTTCAAGAAGACAAGGATGGCCAAGCAATGCCCAGACTTCCTTACCTCCTCTATCTTCTTTGCATTCAGAAATCACAATTGTCTTTGGATTTTTGCAGGTTTAGAGAAGATTTTCTATGATTTCTTCTGTATTTCGCTTTACATTTCTATATATTTATGAACATTTCTTTTAACTAAGTTATGGGACTTGATGATTATATCATAGTTTTGGTAGCCTTGTATAATAATGGGTATGACATACAGGATCTTCGTAATTTTTGTGGTTTTGTTTTACCCCACCCCACCCCACCCACCAAAAAACAAAGAAACAAAATACTCCCTCACCCCCAAATAATACAATTGACTTGATATATAGTTTAACAAAAACATATGGCTATTGATCATACGTCTAAACTGCTTCTTAACAAGGACAGATTAAAGCAAATTTCTGGACCACAATCAAAGTGTCACATTTTTTTGACAGAGGGAGTAAATAAAATAAAAGAACTCTACACTTATATCTACCAATCTACATATATATCAAGTATAATGCAACAATGCTACAATGGTCTGGGGTAAGGCTCCATATTGACGTAGAAACAAGACCACAACTCAACAAATAGAAGTGCTAACCACGCATTTGCCAAAAGCATCTTCCAAGTTCCACCAAAGTCTATTAATTATCTTTGCTTACTTGGCAGGCAACCAACATCTTAGCAAAATAGTATTCACACAACTGTCATGTAATCATAGCAAAGTAAAAATAAATCGGAAGCTCAATAGAACTATGCTTACTGGATGCAACAAGGGGATTGTGTAAACTCCCATCCGGTCTTCTCAGCAAAACTCTCACCCTCCCTACTTGCATGAAATCCCTTGGATATGCCTTATCAAGCTTCAAAACCATTACAAAGGTTTAGAAATAAAAGGTAACAAAAAAAGTACTCCCTTCAAACCAAAAGAGATTCACAATGTTGAGATCAAACTCATGCTTTCAATGCAATTTTTATGGATATGTTACAAACATAGCATTCTAAACCAATAAGTCTATACATTTAAATTTGGTAACATTTAGCTATGTGTTAAAAGACAAATTACATTAAAATGGATTTCATAACCCCCATCGGAACCCAACTTTCATAACTTCTCAAAGCCAAAATAGAACCAACTATACTTTCATTCCAATTTCAGAAACATGAATTTGGTGACCACAGGTTTTGGAAGTTGGTTTCCCTAAAGTATGGGTTTTAAAGGTTGGAATGAGCACAATTGATTCTACTATGGTGCAATTTTCCTATCTTTTGATCCAAATCAACTTTGATTACAAATTTACCATCAAAGAGATGAAGCTTCTCCCTTTTTTTCTAGAACCAATATTAAACCTATCACAATAGTGGAAGGATGGCTCTGTTGTTGGAACGAGGGAGTATGTAATATAATATTACTTTACGACGGAAACAGGAAAACCTCAATCGCGAAAGGAATTTTGAGGTGACCACAGCAATCACCAATTTCCAGGGCCGTAGGGTTTTCGCATGCTTTTGCTGCGGAGATTCTCCTACCTTCAGCAATTGTCTTCTTTGAATTTATGTAAACAGGGTACAATATGTTCCACTTTTTGAAATTAGGTATACCTCCATCCATTATTCCTATTAATCACCCCATAAAAATCATAAGTTTCGATCGATCGAGAAGAAAAAACGGAAACACCGATGATTAACTGAAATAAATACTTTGACAATACGAATTTATGTATAAAAGAGACGACATCAAATGTACCTGTTTTCTATGTGATGTTGTGGGTAGATTACGGCGTTGACGGAGGTTGCGATTTTGGTGGATTCGCCGGAGGGAATTGACCGAGATCTGCAGAAGTATGACTCTTGGATGGATTAACCGCCCATGAGTCCAACTCCGACCTCAAGCTGAGTCCTCAAAGTGTTAAAAAGCCTTCCTCTTTTTGGGCTAAATGAATCCTCTAAAGCCCAAATTTTTATTGGGCTAAACCATCGGTCTAAGCCCAACTATTTTAATATGGGTTGTGAAATAAAGAGGTTAAAATCGGTCCGGGGTTGGGTCCAGTTTTTCTTTCAGTAACCGGTTCCGGTCCTAGTGCTAATCCTAACTAAAATACCATGATTCGTCTCCATACTTTGTAACTGGTCCTGTCTCAAATCGAGTCTAAATTGATCTCAAATATTGTTTGAAGAATTTATTTTTTTGGTTAATATATATTTTTGAATACACTATAAATCCGTAATTGAATCATTTAAATACACTTTAAAAATATTTTTTGAAATCTTTTTATACAGAGATGTTATAGATATTTTTATAGTTATAATATTTAAAATTTAGCATTGAAATATGTTAAAAAAAATTAAGTATTAGATATATTATTATAATATTTAAAGCATTTATAAAATTCAAACATACTCTTCATAGAATAATCAATTAATATTCCTTTTTAATGTAATCAATTAATGTTTTATTCTCTTCAAGATAAATAAAAATATAATTAATGCATATTTATTCTTATCCAAAATTAATTTTGAAGATTTCCTTCTCTCCTTTAAATTTATGTGTAACAAATTTGTTATTTTATAGATTTCAATATAAATTATATTATTGAATATTATATAGTTTTATTATTTTAATATGCTTTTAAAAAATATATAAAATAATAATAATTTAATTCATTTGTGAGAATAAATAAATAAACCATTTATATCTTCTTATATCTAAAGTCACATAAAACCATCTAAATACGGATTTTTTTTCTTATGTCTCTGTTTAAGAGAACAATATAAATCTTTTAGAATAAAATAAAGATCAAAATCTCCATTTTTATTATTTTAAAAAATATGTTGGAGATACTCTGCTTAACACAACTGTCCTGAAATGCATATTTTTGAAAAAGAAAAGTTTGAGATGATTTTAATTGCGGTTTCTTGTGTAAACCATGTCGATGAATTTTATGAAGTTTGCTTTTGATCTTCTTGATATGAGGTCATACCTTTTTGGTATTATTTCGGTCAGTTGTATAGTTTTGTAGTTTGTGACCCAATGTGTATCTCCAGTGTCGTTATTTGTATAAATTTCATGTTATTTGCTATATGGAGATGCAGAGTGTTACAATTGGTATCTGAGTATGAGTTTAAGGGATTTAGATATTTAGTTTGATGCCTAGACATCTAGTAATTATATCAAACGTGAGTTTATATGTGTAAAATATGTGTTATACATGGCATGATTTGGCGGGTTGTTATATGTATACTTGCCATAGTTAAGGTTGTCAACAAGTAAAGGTAAACTTGTTACCCGTTATGTTTCTTTTTGTTGGATAAGGGTGTGGATAAGAGGTTTTTATCCATTTTATTCACTTATCCTTTACTCCCCAATGTTTTAACAGATAAGATATGAATAAACATTTTTTCCTTAGATAGAAAGATTCAAATGAGAATGTTAACTATTTAAGAAAAAAAAAAAAACATTGTTAATGTACAAAATCACATGCGATTTTACATTAACGTCAAAAAATGGAAGCAGATGATTTTTGAACACATATGATTTTATACATGAATATATATATATATATATATATATGTGGGGGATCATGTATGATTTTGTACGTGAATCATATATAATTTGATACATTAACGATTTTTTTCTTGTTTCTTTAAATAGTTATCGACTTCGTTTGAACATGCCCTATGATACACACACACACACATATACATACATATATATATATATATATAKAGAGAGAGAGAGAGAGAGAGAGAGAGAGTTTGTTTCAAATATAATATGTTGCATTTATACAACCAATGCAACCCAATAAATTGAGATATTTATGAAAATGATGAGAGTTCATTTATTATGATTTGAATATTTATGGAAGATGAATATGGTTCATTAATTATGATCAATACTTTATATATTATGAAACAATCAAAACTTCTATGAAATGACATATTAATCAAATGAGATGGACGGTTGAGATTGGATTGTATTGGTTGCACAAATGTCATGGATTGTATAATAACCAACCTATATATATATATATATATATATATATATATATATATATATATATATACATTGTAATCAAGGTGGAAGATTGTATGAGAAAGAGAGTTAAGGTGAGAAGCATAAGAAGAGATCTGGACTATTGATCACATTTAATCTCAAACCCACTCATAATCTCACTTGAAACAGGGATTCATCTGCTGCATATCAGTACATCTCATCCTAATTGTACATCTAAGGGTGGGGATCCCAACCACAAGAGTGGTGCCAAGTTGGTTTGAGCTTGACTCCAAAGGTCAAAGTACCTGGAGGTTCCAGATCAAATTTAAGGAGAAATAAAAATCCCCTTTATGGCCACGGAGGTTCAAATGCAGTGACTCCGGCTATCTGCAAAGCAGGTGGTCGCTATAAATTAGTTAGCTCGTATAGCGGGTTGGATATCTAAGTTAATAAAAAAAAAATGGAGATCCCTTCTTACACTTTTCACCTTAACTCTCATTCTCATCAGAATCCAATCAGTATTATCAATTACCATAAGCAATTAAAAGTTATGAAGTGTAACATTACGAAAAATTATTATCATAATTGTTAAGGGGAAAAAAATCAGAACTTTTTATCTCTTACGGTCTATTGGTCTAACATTTCTTCGGCTCTTCTTCTTTTGTTCAACATCGCTACTTTTATACAAATTCTATAAGGTTATTCCCACAATGCAGTAAGATACATCTTTATTTTAATGTTTCGTTTTATTTTTTTTATCTTTGTTGATATAGTACGGTTTATGCGGTTTTGATAAAGATAATGTTTTTACTTGAAAAAAACTATATTTGAAGATATCATAAATTTTTTAAAAAATATATCGATATTAATATTAAAATAAATATTTTCTCCTTTTTTATATAATTTCATTAATTCAATTTTTTATTATAATTTAATTTAGGTTTAATAGCGAAATAATTTATTTTTGGCTTAATAATATAATGTTTGTAAAGATAATGATTCTTTTAGAACTCAATCATAATCTTAATTATATTTTAAAAAATTTATATTTAAAATAATATGTTTATCATATATTTGATTATGTTTATCTGCAGTTAGTTATATGAAATTTAAAATGGAGCTTTAATAAGTTGTACTTATGCACAATTTACTTGTAATCTTAAATTTTAAATAATATGCATTAATAAATAATACTTTATGTATAAAGAATGATTTTTAAGAGTTTTTGTCAAATGTTTTATAATATAGTATAGATATATCATTTTATATTTTAAAAATTGCTAATACCGTTTTATAAAAATATATTTTATACGTTATTTATTAAAATAGAATCTACTTTCATCGTTATCCATTATCCATATATGTTATGGGTAAGACAAAGTATTATTTTAGATAAATAAGGTAACAAAATAACTTTACTCGTTGTCGTTGATAACCTTAACTACGATTTTAGTTTGTCTACAGATATTGACTACCGCTTTAAAATAAAACATGACAGTAAATACAATAGGAAAATCGAGATTCTACTATCAAATGAAAATACAGACATTAATGAATTTAACACTGAGTCTCTCATATATCACCTCATAGTCCTTCCTAATAACCACGTTCTATTCGAATATAATCACTTTAATAATAAAAAACATACTAAATTCCTTAAACAAATTCTAATTGGCTGTTATTCGATCTAGAAGATGGAGTCACGTTTCCGAGGTTGAGTTCGCCTTTGGCTTGTCTTTCCGCCATTATCCTTTGTGTCGATTTGTAAAAAATTGCATATAGCACCAGTTGAGCCAAAGCAAAAAGAGCCCCGATTCCGTTAGGTGCCTGAAACAAAAATAAGCACGTTGCTTATTACAATAAGACAAAAAAAAAATATGCAATGCAAAAACTCGTGTGTGTTCATCCATGTTCACAAGAGAGAGAGAGAGATTACAACGACGAATGGATCGAAACGGATGAGACCATACGAGAACCAACAAACGCCATTTGCGAAACAAAATAGAGATAACAGAAACGGCATGTACTCCACGCTTTTTGTTTTGATCACCATTTTCTGCATAAATCAATGTTATGTAAATTATATATATATATATATATATATATATATATATATATCGATCTATAAATTATGTATGTTTATATCTAAGGGTGTAAAGAAGCATACCATGACAGAGAGTGGGGATGCATACATCATAATGTTACCCGCGATGCAAATGCTACCGATAATCGCTGATCGGAGCTTCGTGCCATGTGCTAATGTTAGTGTCAAAGCAAACAAAACCCCGAGAAATATAATTTCCATGATCAAAACCAGTATTACTCGGATTCTCTTTTTACTATCAGAGTAGATAATAAAAAGAAGCAAGTAGACGGACTCGATCACGATTCCAGCCCCATTTGTTGTCGTGACCAACAAGCTATGCGGGTGCACAAACGGAAGGCCGTAGAAGATCCATAGGCCACAATTGACGAAGGTGACTAGGTACGGCACCGGAGAATACTGTTCAACCGACTTCTTTTTCCATATCTTATAAAACGTTGGCCTGAAAAAGATATCAGAATAATTAAAGACTCATGTCATGTATACATACATACATACATACATACACACGTCATATGTATCTATGTATTTTAAACGGAGAGATATAACAATGCTTACACTGTTGACAAGAACAAAATGATTGAAATGACGTTTCCTAAGGGAAAAAAAACAACCGTTACTGATACTGATACTAATACTGATGCTGTATATACGAAAAACAAACACAGATATAGATATATATTTTAAAATATAAAACAGTTACCGATGACACCAAGTACACTGCGAGCAAAATCGTGAGAAGCCATGGCTGCAAATAAAGGAGTGTGGGAGAGAGGAATGAGGGGAGGGTGGTGTTTATTTAAATGGGTAGAGCAAGATTATATTTATTACAAACATTTAATTATTATTTTGGGTAAACAAAAAGATTAATTTGTAAATGGTTATCTGGATTTGGACCTGTTTTAATATCCATTTAATGCTAATTAATGCTGATATATAAAGTTAAATATATTTCTTTTTTTTTAATTATATAAATTGGATAAATATTAATTGAAACCGAAAGAAAAATCTTGACAAATGTTACGAATGATACGACACCTATGATGTGAATTCAAGACTAAGGTGCACATTGGTTTAGAAAAATCTTAACTTGCGTTATTTTTATGTAAAAAAATTGGTTACTGATAATTTTAACTGGATCCTGTATGGAATATATCTGTAAGGATACCAATATGAAAGTCTGTTTTTTGGCTTAATCAATAGTTGAGACTAAAGAGTTTACTTGGGTTTGGGAAAAAAAATCAATTTTGGGTCATTTAAACAATTTAATTTAATTTAATGTGAACTTAAGTGAAACAAAAATGTTTTTTTTTTTTTTTTTGGTAAACTAGCTGATAAATTAGATACTGTCTATTGACTAAAAAAACTAGTTGTTGGCTGGTAATATAAGTGATAAAATAGTCATATTTGGTAAAAAGAAAAAACTAATTGATAAGTCATATTACAATGTAAGCTTACTTAAAAGGACATGTTGAAAATTAACTGGAAAAATATAAGGAAGGTTATTGGAAAATAAACCTCTTAATTTTATTAAGACATCGTTTTACAAATACTTTTATATTTACATAATTCAACACATATATTTCAAGGTTCCACCAATAAATTCGAAAAATATCTTCAATGAAATTCTAAGAAAGTCCTTAAACTATTTTTGTTGGATGAAAAAACATTGGTTTTATAATTTTGAATGATTAAGTTTTTGAACATTTTTTTTTGAATGAATAGACTACTGGACTCTTAGAAATTGATTATCTGCATCATTTTAACCCAAAAAGTTATATATAACCGATTAGGAAGATTTTAAAGTAAAAAAACCTAAATTAGTTTCATCGTTCCCAACTATACGCTATTCAAACTCCTCACACGTTTTTTACTTTATAAATTTCAATGTATTAAATTATATAAAAACACATTTATTTATATCATTAAAGATATTATTATTTATTTATGTATTTAT